CGATGAAAGATGTCATAATTTGTGAATATTGGCAAACGTGTCGAAAGTGCACCACTATATATTACCTTGTTTGGATAGGGGCATATCGATAGTAATTACGTACATAATTCATGTGGTTATTCAAATCTGAACCCAAACCAGTTTTTCTAGATTTCATTCCGACCATTTTGTAGAGAACAATAGTAATGCGAATACATTCGATTGCTTAATATTCAATTAAGGAAATCGACAATGGGAATCACTAAAAATTTTTGTCATGTGAAAAAATTATGTAATTACATGTATTACGCGTTAATTCGATTTTTACGCGTCAAAAAAAAACATCACAAAGCTATATAAGGACGTCTTTTTTTCCTTTTGTTACTTTATTATTTTTATCACATTCCTCAAATTTTCAAATTACATACATACAATACATAATACACAAAATATACAATCTGGACAGAAATACAAACATGAACATGAATATTTAGATGAAAATACTCAAACATGAACATGAATACTTAGATAAAAATACTCAAATGTGAATATAAATACTTAGATGGAAATACTCAAACATGACTTGGATAGAAATACTTGGATGTGGATATTTAAACAGATATATTTGAACTTTAGAGTATAAATTAAGTTAAAGTTATTTTGATAAAATATAAAAGTATTAATAATTTAAAAGAAACAGTTTATTTATTTTACTAAGAACTAAACTATAACTAGTATTGGTAGAGTAAAAAATTGGTTGGGGCTTATTTTTTTAACCAATAAGATATACTTTTTTGTAATGGTTAAGATAAGTAGAAAATATATTTTTTGAAACTAAATATTTTAATATTTAGTTTAGGTTTAGTTTTTTTTATATATAAATTTAATAAATATATATTTACAATTGTAATAAAATAGGGTGTGGTAACTTAGTAAAATAAATAAGTTGTTAACTTTTTAAGTAGTAGGTTGTGAGTTTAAAACTCATGAATGATAAAAATTTGGATAATTAACTATGTAATATTTATATTACAGCAACTGTTTTTAATAATTAAGTTAAGATATCTGTAATTATGATCACATTAGTATGATTGGCAGGTCATAAGGCATTTGTGTAACTGATTACACTGAGAAATGCAAACTGGCATTGGGCAATGCAAACTTAAAATAAGTCTTTATGGTTGTGTAAATCTGTAAAAATTAGGAAACAAGAAGTCTATTTGGAAAAACACAAATAAAAACATAATACAGATCTTTAATAGTATTATTGTAAAGGTTAAATCTAGAAAATAAATACCAATATAGAGTACTTGGATAGGTAAAAACCTCTGGGTAAGAGGTATCACTAACTAGCCTATTAGAAGTTCAATCAAAAAAATTAGAGGAAAAGAATATTAGATCAATTTAATATACTAATAGACTAGTTATAATCCTACTAAGTTATTTGAATTGAAAGTTTGGAGAAAAAACAGGAGTATACTAAAAGTACTAGGAATATGCTATAAAGTAAGTGCTAGGAACTGAGTGAACTCTGCAAAGACAAGTTTTGTTAATATTCTATAGAGTAGGTAAGTAGTTAACAGAAGGGCTCCCAGAGCCTTATAGTCAGGTAACATGTTCTGAAATTAGATAACAGCTTGACAAATATATAGAAGAGTGACAAAATATTAGGTTAGATGGTATTTAGATATATAGAAACTGAAATAGTTAATTGTCTAAATACAGTATAAAAATTAAAGTATTTAATTAGATAGTCTTTTAGCAGATTATAGATAAGGCAGCTAATATAGAATCCTCAAGTAAACTACTTAAATAAGTAACTAAAAGTTACATATGTAGTTAGTTGTATGCTTATCCTGTACAAGTAATATATAATATATTCACTAAAAGCACAAATAAAGGTATTAGTTACTATTAACATTGATCTAAATAATAATAAAAAAATTATAATAAACTTAATAAAATTAATAAAGTTAATAAATTTAATGTTAAAAATAAATAATAATAAATTTTTAAATGTAAATTTTTAAAAATAAATTAAAAAAATTATTTGTTAATAAATAAAATTTATAAATTTAGAAAAATAATAAAATTAATAAACTTAATATTAAAATTAATATTAAAAGTAAATAATAAAAATTTTTTAAATATAAATTTTAAAAATAAATTTAAAAAAATTATTATATGCAATATAAATCAAATAAAAATTAGTTGCTATTAATGTTTTATTAAGTATTATATTATTACTAATACTAGTGCTGTTTTTGTTAGTATTTTTTAGTATTATTATTAATATTATGTTTGTTATTGTTTTTGTTTAGTTATTGAAATTAGGTTGTTTAATTTTTATAATCATATATATTATATAGAGCTAGGATCCATAAATATTCGTGATTAAAAATAAATATTTAACTAAAAATGAATATTCTGTTACACAACATTTATAAATAATCAAGGATTAAATTATGAATATTCAGTAAATATCTTTATGAATATCTTGTATAAATATCTATGTGGATATTTTATGTGAATATTTGATGAATATCTATATGGATATTTAACAAATATCTGTGTGAATATCTGTATAAATGCTGAAATGTTTAATAAATAACTATATTTATCATGCAAACTCTTATGATCATAGATTTTTTTTGTTATTTTTTGTATATTATTACATAAGCACAACAATCCCAAATTAAAACTCAGTTAGCCAACTACGACTTGTAAATCATAATCATAATTGCATAATAACTTTGATATTAGATCATGCAATGATAAATATCTTATACATATCGGTGTTAAAAAAATGACCAGAAAACAATAGTTGTGAATTAGAATTTAAAGCATCTAGCATATAGAGTATGTAGCATAGTCTTGTTAATTTTCTTAGTTACTATATCAATGATAAAGATAACTGATTGAGCAACTTTATAGAAGAATAATATTATATATAGTTAGTGCCTCTATAGTATAGAAAAATAAATAAAAGAACTGTGATTGCTAGTAAGACAAGAACTTAATTCTTAAATAAATTCCTTATATTTGTGTTATTTAGAATTAAATATTGACTACTGTGCATATACAGAATGATCTCCCTTGTAACAACCGATTGGTTAACACCCTTTAGATTTAGGGTACAAATCAATTTGCCAATTAAAATATAACCAACCTCAAATAAAATGTTTTATCATTTCTCTACTAATATATCATATTTATTGCAAAATTGCATATAACAATAATATATATAAACTTATAATATATGTTTTTTTTGTTCTTTTTTGTTTTTTAAAGCTTGTTTACAAAAATTTCAAAAAAAAAAAAGTCTGAATGTTCTATTTTAATGCAAAATCTGAATATTTAAAAAAAAAAATCCAAATGTTCTAATCAATTACTACTCATAACTACTGCTATTATAATCAAACATTCCACCTACTACCAGACTATTTTTTTTAAGAAAAATTAAATTTTCAAACAATTCCAGTTTCAAACAGGTTCTTTTAGTCATTATAATATTGCCTGCATTACTAAAAAATCTCTCACTAGCAGCTGAAGTTGCTTGAATAGCAAGATACTTTCTTGCAATTTGAGAAAGAATAGAAAAATTTTTTTGATTGCTTTTTCACCATGTTAGAGCATTTTGATCTTTAGAGATTTCTTGTAATGTCAAATATTTATCGACTTTATCAACATCAGAACTATAAGAATTGAACAAACTTTCACCATATAATTTTGTTCTTAATCTTTTTTGTGAGGACTCTCTTTCAGATAAGTTTGTTGTTTTATATTTGGAATTTTCTTCTTTATATAAGCAGCACAATTTATTAATTGCTTCATTTTTTTTAATTCAGTTGTAAATAACATATTTTTCTAACATGAATCCAAAAGCGAAGCAACAAGAATATCAAGCTCCAAATCATCATCATCATAATAATAATCATTTATTGCATAATAAAGTTTGCTTTTAATTACATCAATTAATCCAAATATATTAACTGGCTTATTAATTTTGATCTTTTGTTTTACCTTTAGTTTATCATCTTCTGCATCATCTTCAATTTGTAATTTATCAAAAGCATCCTCCAAGTCATTTTCATTATCACTATCATTTTTATCCATAGTTACAAAAAAAGAAAGTCTTGATTTAATTTTTTGTATTGCAGGGTATATATAACTTATTGTCGAATATTGGCTTCCTTTCAGCCTTTCGATGGTTTCAGCGAATAGGCCAAGAATTGGCATAACTTCATTGATAAAAGAGCATTCTTCAAAAGTTAGATTAATTTTTTTTAACTGCTTTCCATCTTTTTTTGTTTCTGCATCAGCATTTGTTACATTCATAGTTGTAGAAAGAATCTCGATAAATAGCTTTAAAATTAACAAATAACCCCATGCATTGAAAGTACTTGACCATCTTGTTTCACAGTCAGTAAGCGCATGATAAAAAACTAATTGTGATTCATTTATTGACTTCTCCTCAACATCTGTACTTACGGCATATTGTTTTTGAACATTAATTAATCTCTCATTTTGTTTAGGACGAGTAAAAAAACTAATTAGTCTTTTTGCTCTTGCAATTAAAACTTTGGCTGACAACATTCCTTTTCCAACTACCAACTGAATAGTATATGCTGTATATGAGACCCTTTTAATCCAAGAAATCTGATTAAGTGCTTTCTTCATATTACTGCTGTTGTCTGTAGTACAAAAAATATTTTATCTTTTAAGTTCTATGCATTAATAATCATTTCTAGAGCTTCTTGAATATGATCACCAGAATGAGGATATGGGAGATATTTAATTGCCAAAATAACTTCTTTTAGCTCAAAATTTGATGTAATAAAATGCACAGTAACTAAAAAAAAACCCATCTTGGAATGAGAAGTTCACAAATCACATATAAGTGATACCCAACTTGCTTCATGTTCTAATAATTCTGAACTTTTTAAACTTACATAAGTTTTAGATTCAAAAATCTTATTTTGAAATCTTTTATGATTAGGAATATTAAAGATAGGCATAAGATTATTAATAAAACACCAGAATGAAGAAGTTTCAAGCATGCTTATAGGTAAAGCCCCTAAAATAATCCATTCATAAAGAAGAAATTCAAGATGTTTTTGCTTTTCTTGAGTTATGGGCATAAATAGTTTATTTTGATTAGTTGATTTTCTGGGTACAGGTGTACTTTTGAATATCTGATATACAACTGCTAAGTGATTTATAATATTTCCAGTTGGACCCTTTGTTGCAATTTTTGAAATACAACTTTTCTCATTTGACAACTCATTGGTGCATATAAAGATTCTTCCACCTTTATTCAGTAATTCTTGACATTTACCCTATTCCCAAATCCAACTATTTAATCTAGATCCTCTAGTTCTTTTTTTTGGCTAGTTATCAGTTGATAAAGATGCGGATGAGATTATGTTTGAAGAAGTAGATGAAGACTGATTATTAGTTGATAAAGACATGAACAGAGATATGTTTGAAAGGGTAGATGAAGACTAGTTGTCTGTTAATAAAGACATCGATGAAGAGGTCATTAGTTTATTACCTCCAAAGAGATAAATCTATTTATATTAAGTTTTTGATAAATAACATTTATTATATCAGAACAATGTAATAAAAATCTGATTAATTAAATTTGAAGAAGATTTGATAAATTTGTAATAATGCAAGGTAATTCTGATAGCTTTAATTCTGTAATAGATAAATTTATTTATCCCTTAATCTGTAAGCTTTTTTAGACAAATTTGCCTGGAAAATTAGTAAAAATATGTTTATGATTTATATTTTTTAAATTTTAAAATACTTAAATAAAATTTTATTTGATAATATTTGAAAATAAGGATTATATTATAG